CAAGATGGTGAATAACACTGCTGTGAACCAGAATGAATGCGCATTACAGAGTCTGCTGCTTCAAGTAGGAAATTTTTGTGTTGTCAAGGATCTGTCTGCCAGCTATTTCAGAAAAGAGGGATTCATTTGACCCTCATACCTTTGAGGTTTTGCACACCTTGTTTTCTAGCTGCTTGAGGAAACCTTTGAAACTTCAGCATAAAAAAAGGTAGCAGGCTTTTTCTTTCCACTTCCCCCACCCCCCCAAGTCTAAACTAAATTCTGACAACACAGCTCACTGTAATGGCCTTCCCTTCACACAAGATACTGTAATACTGCTCCTCTTTTATCTACCATTTGTCCTTTTGTTTTATGGCTCTCTTTGTTGCAAGCTGCTTTGTTGTTTCTTCCAGATTATGCTCCTCGGGGATTTTTGTATCAGTATGACTGAACATTGCTTGCAGCCATGCCAGATTGTGCTGTGATCTTATTGGATTTCACAAACCAAGGTTAGGCCAGGTCAGAACTTGGTTGAAATAATGTAGACTACAAGATTGCCTGCTAGCCACTGGGAACACGCATGACAAAAACCTGACCTAGATGCTGATTCAGTCAGCTCAGGCCAACAGTGTTGCCGTGCTGACCGTGGTAGATGTGATATAAAGACGTTCTGACCTGTTATGGCTGGTAGGATTTCACAGCTTTTTTTTTTTTTTTTTGAGAGAAGTACTGATGTTAATTCCAGTGTTCTGGCCCATTCCAAATCCTTTAATTTTCTATCAGATTACACTGCAATTCAACAGAATATTATATTCTTTGATCTTCTTTTCCCTGTGCTGTTGTGCGATGATGTTTGCCCTCAAAACTTGCTACTGCTGTCCAGAAAGCTGCATTTCTGTGCTGGGTGAAATAGTTCTGAAATTTTCTTTGCTTTTCTGATCTTCTGAAACAAAGTATAGTATAGAGGGCCTTCAAATGAAAGGCCCCAGAAAGGTAGAAATTACTAGTAAAAGTAACATACAGGAAATTATAGTTGAGCTTTTCTTAGACTTGCTTGAGGTTTCTGACCAAAAGGCTGTATGAAGATGAGTAACATCTACTCATCTTCGTACTTGCTGAACAGTACTCATGAAGTTGAGGGAAGAGCAGTACAATCGCCTAGAGATATCTTGATGTGCACAGATGTCCATTGATAGACTTTGATCTATTAGAAAAGCTGAATAGATCTAGCTAAGCAGCAGCTGTTGGGTACACGTAGCCATTAAGCACATTTAAAGAGTGTAATTGTGAAGCTGCAGAGGAATTAGTTGATGAGGTACAAAAGGGCAGAGGTGACTAGGAGTCAGGGAATGAAATACTCCAGGCTGGATCAGGAAAAACTTTCTGTCAGTTTAAGTGTAATGTGATGTCTTTCTGTGAATATGTAAAATTAGTCTGGGGATTGAAGTCTGTGATGTGTCATACCTGCTGGAACAATTTGCTGTGGCAGGGTGTGGAACAGATGACCAGGTGTATACCCCCCTGGAGTATTTTCATCTTTTGAAGGTTTTTGGTTTGCTTTTCTCAGTCAGCATCTGTATTTTGAGTGTCCAAGTTGTGCTTTTTAACTGAGTGAAAATGTTGAGCATCGTGACTTTAAGATCCAAGTTTATTTACATTTCTGCATAGACTAAATGGGGAAGTTAAAAATGGAGTAGGAAGATTAATATTGGATAAAAGTTGGGATTTTTGGTCTGATTGGAAACATTTGCCCATTGGCATTGAGGTTACCCATAATTGTTCTTAATAGGTAAATTATCTCTGTGTCTGATAATCCTAATCGTTAGTGCAAAGCTTGGCGCTGCCAGCAGAGATATGGAAGGTGTAGTGCAGAAGGCGGCTGGAAGGAGTCTTTCATCTCTGGCATCCCTTGCCAAGGGCTTACTGTACATGCAAATTCACCAGCTCTTTCATTGTGGAGCATTTATATATCCTGGAGAGGGTGAAATCTGGTAGTTAATTGCTCTGTACACTCAGGGGGCGATTCTCCAATGGAAGAATCTGTGGGAAGGGACCATGGTGGCTGATGTTGCTACAGCATTGATAAATATGTAGGGGAATGTTCTGCAGAAGGGTATGAAAAGCTTTGTTGATTGATTCTGTTCCTACCTCCTCGGTCTTAGGAAGAGCTAGCCTGGCTAATCTTTTTTATGAAAACAGCATGACTAATATTCGCCTGCTGAACAGATATGCTGGATAAGATTATTTTTTTTTTCTTGGCTGTTGTTTTCAGATGTTATTTACAGGATCAATAAAAGTGATTTTCCAATTCAAGGATAATTTTTTACCAGCAAGATCTGTAGCCTCTAAGGTTGGAATATTGGATCTGCTCTTTTTCAGAACGAGTTAATTTAAAAATGATAGGTAGTTTCCAGTTAACACTTAGCTTTTCTAATAGAAAGGAGGGACGCATCTAGAAGAAACACCGGGGGGGGGAGAATTTTGCCTCAGAACCACATCATTACGCACTGCCCACAGATACTTAATGTTTTAGCTGCTTTTCTTTAAACAATAATCGCTTAACTGTACACAATATTTTAATGACAAATGCAATATAATAACAAAATGCAGAGCTGTTTTATTATAACCCTGGTTCAGTTACTATTGAAGTCTGTGCAAATACTCCTGTGGACTTAACTGGGCATTGGTTGATGCCCTCAGTAAAGTGCCATACAATACTCTGTGACCATTGTGACCATAGAAAAGAGTATTTCATGCCATTGTGGAAGTGTTCCAGACCAATACCAAGTGTATTCACACATGCTAGTTAAATGCCATTCGTTCCTTCTGCACACAGTTATTTAATCTGATTCTTTTGTGACCTGTTGGGAAAATTGCACCTGAGCACGCATACACACACACAAATACACATGTATTTTAATAGATACTATATTCCTTCCCTCTGTATTTACCCTTCTCCCCCATTGCACACTTAAGATAAGAGCCTCCATTCTAAAAGGGCTGTCAGTATGAGACTTCTGCAGTTCTGCCTGTATGTTTGGGGTAAGATACAGCTTCAAATGAGTAAAACCATGCAGGTATCATTTTGTAAGCAGGAGCCCACACCTAGTATCAGTTGAATTTTGCACAATAAGAGCAAAATACCCAAGAAATATTCTTCCACTGGAAGCACTACAAATGGACTTTACATGCCAGAAAGTTGATTAGGTTTTTAGATTAAAAAAAAAATAACCAACAATTTTTTAGATCAAACTCAAGCCATCCCAAGCCCCAGAATATCACCATACAGAGTCTCTCTACTCTTCCTGTACTCTAATAAGACTAGGGTTTGGGGGATTAGTACCTATAAAATACAGTCTGTGGAAGTCGACATAAAAATCAAATGCCATTAACTTTCAGAAGTGTTAATTCAGGCCCCAAATATTGAAAGTCATCATGTTTTTCTCAAAGTTTACACATCAATACATTTTATTCAGCAAAAAAGAAAATTACATACACGCTTTATGATTCCCCCCTCCTCCTTTATATATGTAGTGTGTGGACGAAAAAAAGAAGAAAGTTTGGTTTTATTTTTTTTTAGGCAGGAGAACAATCTCATGGTGAAGATTTCTTAAAAACATTAAAAGATATTTTTCTTTACCAGGATTAGGGTAAAGTTTTCCTTTTTTAGATGTTGAATTGTTTATAACCTTCCAGTAAGAATCTGGCTTTTGGATGACTGCTGCTGCTGAGAACTACTAGCAATAGAAGCTTTCTAACACTCAACTGCTAGTTTATTAAAAGAATAATAGGAACAGATGTTTTCAATTCATAAAATGTATCAAGTAAATGGTACATCCACTTGTTATTTCAATTCCTTTGAATTTTAGTGAACTCGTTTGGGGCTAGGTTTTCAAAAGAGCTTAGCCCACTGTTGCCTCATTGTTCTCAGTATAAACTGATGGATGATGAACATGTTTGAAAACCACAGCTATTTAAGCCTAAATGGGAGCTGCTAACTACTGACATTTCTAAAAATCTGGCCCGTTTTTCTGATGAGTGAATACTGATCGTTACAGAGGATTCATACGTGCAATCTCTGAGTAATACCCTACATTTGTCTGTGATTGTATATATGATGGCTTCTTAATTTACTATTGCACTAGGCATTTTAATTTAAATTATGCTAATAGTGTAGGATTAACTGTGGATTATGATTCTAGCATTTACTGTCATACAAGCAGAAGAACCAGTTCTTTTGCTTGCACAGTCTCTTTCTCCCTTCTCATCCGGATGTATAGTAATTTGTACTCAAGACTGGCCTCAGGTTTTGATGAGGTTTCTTGTTTAAGCTGATGCAATTGCTTAGGGAAAGGGAATTGTTGAAAATTAGAAAAAGAAGAGACTGGGATCTTTTTATCTTCCGATTACACATTTTTATGGTGCTGAAATGATTTACCCAAAATGATTATTTGAATGGGCTCTTGGAGCATTGCACAGTGAGCTGTTCTGGTTTTGCCTTCATTCTTCTGTGGTAGGACAGACTACACGTACTTTGCTTTTGCACTCTTGGTTCAAGCACATATTTGAGAAAACTAGTGCTAGGGTGTTATATTAAAACCCTCATAAAGGGTGAAGAATGAATAATACATGCAACAGGACTGAGATGTTATGTTGGTCCTTGCTAGAGGAAATAGCAGGAGGCCAATGCTGTTGCTATCTCCAGTACTGAAAAAAGCTTTGTAGTGGCCTGAGATTGCTCTTCTTGAAGCATAACCTCTCCAGAGATCTCCTCTACTCCCAAACTGCAGATGTGCTGGAAACACAAATTTGCCTCGTTATGTTTGCATTTATTTCATTGTGTAGCAACCTCAGATTGTAATGGCATGCGGCCTGTTTTCATTAGTGACTTGCTGTTGAATTCATCTGTATTCCTTCAAATCCCTCATTTGTGCCATTTTTTGTGGAGTGCTTGATATTTCTAATGGCTTTGTGTTGTAGTAGCAGTCTAAAATCTGCCTTTTTTCTCTTTTTCCCTCCAGCTGATATTATTTCTACAGTTGAGTTCAACCACACTGGAGAACTGCTGGCTACTGGTGACAAGGGGGGTCGGGTTGTTATATTCCAAAGGGAACCTGAGGTATGTGAGTTGCCAATGTAGTCCTTAATAGCTTGCTAAAACCTGGCTTTATTTTTAATACTGTAACTGGATCTAACTAACAAACTTGTTTATAATCTCAAGATTCGGTAAAACAGAATGTCACCTCTTTGGAGAGGAAGTGAAAGAGGGTAAGGACCTTTTACTGGGAAGTTTGCTGTCCCAAACAAAACTGTTTCAAAACTCCAAAATTCTAAGGAAGAAAAAAGAAGATTGTTTTTGTTTTACTTCTGCATTGTTTTAATAGCTTTTGTCTGTTTGATGGAACCATTCCATTTAAAACAATGCCTTTGCTGTGATACCTTCATGTTTCACTTTGAAACTCAGTCCATCTGCAGTAGCTTTTGTAGAAAGCTTTCCTGACTAATTGACATTTCTTCAAAAATTCTGCCTTTTATTAAATATTGCTTCAATACTTACAGGAAATGTCATTCCTGTAGAAACAAATCTCTCAATATCATGTTTTAAATGAGAAATGAAATTACATTTTCAATATTTTTATATTTATAAGGCTGCTTATACACCTTTCCTAAGAGGTGGAGATATATTGCCATCATAAACCACATGTTTTTGTTGTTGTTATTCTCCAGAGTAAAAATGAGCCTTACAGTCAGGGGGAGTACAATGTTTACAGCACTTTCCAGAGCCATGAACCTGAATTTGATTATTTGAAGAGCTTGGAAATAGAAGAAAAAATAAACAAGATCAAGTGGTTACCACAGCAAAATGCAGCTCACTCACTTTTATCAACAAATGGTAAGATAGATGAGAGTATATAGGACATATCAGCATTTTGCCCTTGTGCATTTTAGTGCTGACTGTATATATTTGTTCATTTTAATCTATTGTTTTAGTAATTTCCTCTTTCAGAGTTTACCAAGACTGTCATACAGACTCTGATATCTGTTATGTATTTTATTCATAGTCATAGGGTTTTTTCTATTTACTATCCATAGACATTTAGAGAGCTATCCATTTTTGCTATTAACGTACAGTGCTATCCTGAAATAATTTTGTGACAAAGGTATGGCCTTACTCAGCAGCTGTGTTTCACTGGGGATTTAGAATTTTCTCTGCTGTGTTTGTCATAACTTTTATTCTTTGTAGATGTGTAAACAAATGTAGGCGAGAGATTAATTTCTTTTTCTTTTCATTCATTATCATCAGAATGGTTTATTTAAGTTCTAAAGAGTTACACAAATCTTTGGAAGGCAGTAGGAATAATAATAGGATATTGATACTGATTCGTCTTTCTAACATGCTTAAGGCCTATTGATTAAAAAAATGCAGTATAATTGCTAAGAGGGGATATGCAGATGTGACGTAGGAAGAAGAAACTGAATGGAGCCTAACATGCAGAAGTGTCATTTAGGAAACATTTGGACACCCACAACCTTTATTACTGCTGGTGATGCATGAGACAAAAATATCCAATTTTAAGTCTTAGATCTCATTGTGATCAGAAAAGACTTGTTCTTCTAGAAGTTTGTGCATAATTGGGAATTGCTGATAGAAAAATAGTATAATCTCACCTTTGGGAATTGAAACTTTAGGGCAAAGTGATTACTTCTAGTTAAAATTTATAGCAATAAATAGTGTTTACATTAATTCACAGTAGATAGCAAATTATTTTATGTTTCGCGGTCTGTTTTCCTTGAAGTTGTCTTTTGACTTTTTGGAGGCACTGTTACAATATTTAAAATGAAACATATCTGTTATAGCTAGGTGATTTGTGCTAATTTAGTGATTAATTAAGCTAATTATGAAGTTTGAAAGTTTACTTTTGCACTTCTCCCTTGATCAAAATATCCCTTCTACTTCAGATAACTTTAGGTGCGGCTTCTTCCAAGTGCATGATCCAAAAGCAGACTATTAAAAGTAAACCTCTCCCTTTTAATTTTAAAGTTTGGTTTTGGAAACACTGAGGAATACAGCTGAATCCTCAGATATGCTGCTTTTACAGTTGTCCTAATAGACCGTTATATCAGTTTTCTGGTTGATATTAATATGGGAGGGGACAAAGGAAGAAATAATCAGTCTTAGTGTTGCTATGGGTTAATCCAGCTGCAGCCAACACTGAGCAAGCCCAGGACCTGGCAAAATACTTTGGTCTCTGTTTTTCCCCCTTCTTAATTCTGGAGCATCCCGGCAGACCTCATTATGGTGAGAACGGAAGTGGTGCCACTGGCATAGCCTTCGGATTTTGGCTTTGAATTACAAAACATTCCTGTGTGCCAAGGAGGATTCCTAGCTTCCTGGCACAGAAGGGTTGAAGTCTGAAGATTCACCTTTTGGCATACTCCTAAAGATAGTTTTAACTTTAGGGTACAGGAGGTCCATGTTGAATTCCTTGCTGTCTCACAGATTACCTGTGAGAAGTCATTGACGATGTATATCAATTCCATGCCTATAAAAAGGGATAATAGTATTTTCCCTAACTTATAAAGAATGAAGGCATTACCTGTCACACATGCTCATGGTGGGCAGGTTGTAGAAACATCTTGAGTACTGGTTTATATTTACTAATTTCTACGCCTGATATATTAAGGCAATTTTTGATATTTTGGTCTCTGGTAGTTTAGGATCTAAAGCACAGTTTTGGTCAGAAAAATGAGAACTGTGAAACAGCATCCTTTCTTGCCACAGGCACAGGTAGACAGTGCCCATCAAATTTGCTGGAAGGAGCATCCCTCTGTTAGGCAACATGAGGGGACAGTCTGTCTAAATCTCACGCTCAATATATGAGTCTTGACAGGTCTGCACCTGCCCAAATCTGTTTCCATCCTTCTAAGGATGACTTTTGTCTGAGGCTGATTCTGCATAGGTCACCTCTCTCAGAGGGGATCTTGATTCCTTCCCAGTTCACATGTTACCAACAAGTCATCAGCTAAGCTTTGATTGCAGCGTCTTAATTAACGGAGGCAGAAGGAAACCACCAAGGCTTTCAAATTCCACTGTGGATTTGTAGTGCTTGCAGTTAGCAAATTTCTGGCTTGCACTGTAAACTGAACTGATTTTGTAGTATAATAATAAATTATTAGGATTCATTTGTATCCTTTGTACCAGAATATATTGGGGCCACTTTCGATGTGAGCTACATAGGGTAGATCAGAATTTGGCCCATACGGATCCTTTCATATGAGGATTTCAGACTGCTTACCAGACATTAATTAATTTAAACTTCACAACACCCTTGAGACTGAATGAATACTGAACCTCACAGAGACGTTTCTGTATTTTGCAAAATACAAGCATGCTTAGAATTTCTAGGGAGTTTTTAAAGTCCAGAGGCAGATGAAGGAGAAGAAAACCAACACGTGTTACTGATAACCGCTAATAAAATAGCTTTCACACAGGAAAGGGATAGGTTTTTCAATAGCAGTCAGGTCCAACAACAGAAAATAGTTTCTGTTTTTTTCTTATAATTCATTTTACAATTGCTGTATTTATAAATTTTAGAATAGATAAGCAGGAATGCACTGTTTACATATAATAAAAATCCCAAGTACATGACATGGCCTACGTGTATTTTTATTAATTACTTAATGTGACCGATACAAATGAAATGTATTGAATATTTAAATGGAGCTTTTTAGTTGCAGATTGAACTAACCTCTTGTTCTGTAGATTGATCAATTGTAATATTTTTGTTGCTTCAAAATTAGCGTATCAATATTGTTAGGAGATGCATAACAGTAGAAACATTCAGAGTAGTGGAGGTATTGATTTTGAAACAGAAAAAGGTCAAAGTTAAAGTTGCTATAGAAATGCAAAGTGATTCATGTATTCATATATTCTGCCTTTAAAATGATTTGTGCTAGCATTTGAAAGAAGTATTTGGATCAGCTACACTGGGGAAAGAATTATGCTCTGCTATGTACTTGGGGAAAGAAGGGTAAAGGAAGAAAGCAGGACAAAATCAGAAATGATGCAGGAACTGAGGTTAATGACAGGTGTGGTGGCAGCTAAAGTGCAGAAGCTTTGGAAGTGCTTTGGCTGATCCATGAACAGATGCGTGAAACAACTGTTAGAAGCTTCGGGACAGTTTTTTTCAGAAGAGTTGGCATTGATTTGTCAGCCTAGGGAATGTCAGGGTTGGCAGGTTGGGTGCACAGCCAGACTGGGAGTGGACGATCAACGTTAGGGAAATCTGCAGCTTCAGCTACTACAAAAACAAGGACAAACTCCATCTGAAATGTTTAACACTTCTATTTATTGGCTTCAGAGGCTCTTTGCTAAACAAGAGGTATCCTTATGCTATCATCATATGCTTCACACATCATGAAAAAGGGAGAGTTTAGGTTTAATTCCATTCCATGTAAGATTAATATATTTTTCTCCCCACTTCTTTCTCTTACCCTTACAACACAATTCTCTTAGGTTTTTTCCTTAGTTATTTTTCAGCTGCTTTCCCTTAGGAGGGAGAAATGTCTCATTTTTCACACAGCCTTTCATCTGCTGGAGCTCCTGATGTTACACCAATACACCACTGCCCGTTCCTTTTCCACAATGGGCCAGGCAGGTATCATTGGTCTGTCTGTCTACTCCATGCTCTTCTTGTGCTGTTCGTAAGTAACCTAGCAAACTGGCTTTAATATCAAGATTATTTCCTTGCAAAGTCAAATTGTCAAACTGAGCTTCAGCAGTGAGCATTGAGTGGTTTTGGTCTGCTCCACCTGCAAACTGCCAAGTTGGATACAAGAGCAGTGTGTGCTCTACATGGTCTGTCAGCTGCCAGGAACCTCTGACTCGGTTTGAAGGTATGGGATGTGCTTTATGAGTATTTTTTCTGTTGGCAGCATTTTCTGGATGTGCAAAATTAAGTGACCCAGACTGTTTCAGCACAGGACTTATCTAAACCAGGGTGTAGAAACTTCTTTAAGGAATGTATTATTAAAGGTGAGTAACCACATTCAGAATTCCTATGCTGACAGTTGTTTGTCTTTTCTTTTAAAGATAAAACAATCAAGTTATGGAAAATTACTGAAAGAGATAAGAGACCAGAGGGGTACAACTTAAAAGATGAAGAAGGAAAACTTAAAGATCTTTCTACAGTAACATCACTGCAGGTAAGCTGCTGTCTTTGTGCAAAATCCAGTTGTTTCTGCACAAAGAAGGTAGTCATGGGTACTAACTCATTAAAAGATTTAAATATGTATCTAATGCTAAGCATATATATGATTATTCTCATTGAAGTTTTAGCTGACTGGTAATGATCTTGAATCTGTCACACATTTTCAAGTCACAAATGCTTTATGGTACAGTGACCAACACAAATGTGTTTAGACAGTTTATGTCAGTTTTATTCTTCCTGATAAAATTCTCTCAGCATGACTTAACGTACTTTCACACAGGATTCTTTAGCCTGGTGTGCTGGAAGCATTCTACTTGTAATTAATGTTAAACCTTATTCTTGCCTCATTCAGAGCAACTGAGATTAAAGACAGTACACCAAATTTCAGTCTCAACTTTATTTCAGTAGTATAAAAGAATTATCTCCTATATGAAGAGTGGGATTTGCAGTAGTCTGTTCTCCAGTGAATGTGAGGTTCTGCACTGCTGAACAGATGCAGTCATGGAACTCATATAAACGTGTATGATAACATAATAGATTTTTGCTCTCAGACTTTAATGGCTGAATTCACTCCAGGTATTTTGGCAAAGGAAGTGGCTAAAGGTTAGAACTGGAAGGCTATGTTGTATAAATGCTAATATTTCTTTATTATTAAAAACAAACAGAAAACCCCCACCTCAAAACAAACCAATATTGTCTACTGTGAAAAAAGCCTCCAAAGTGTAGAGATGACAATGTTAATGGAATATTTATCTATTCTATATGATTAGGCAAACAAAACCTTTCTGGATTGCTTATAGTCTGAGAATTCAAAGGCTGAGTGAACCATTGTTTTATTCCTTTAGTGGCAAGCTAAACTCAAAGCTTTAACTTCTCTGTGTTCATCTTTAAACTATCTTGTAGATTGATAGTGGATATCTTGTGGATAGATTGTTTCTGATGCATGTTCAACATGGAATAGTCCCAATCATGGACCACAGCCTTACAGTGTTTAATGCTTTACCAATAGGGAATAAATCGACAGTGTCTAGTTATTGAAGCATGACATTGAAGTGACAAGGGAAGGGAAATAATGAGGGCGCAATGATGAGTGATAGTCTGTGGTCTTGGCTTTTCAGGAGTATGTGTGTATGTACGGTATGTCAATACGCATGTTGGCTTTGTTTTCCAAGACTTTGTTTATTATGTTTTGCTGAGATTATAACATTTTCACCACTTGACTTCTTTGAAAGAGACATCAAGTAGCAAAAGAAATTCTGTAAGTGATTTACAACTAACAGCAAACTCTTTAGCAAAAGCAAAATACTAGGACTTCACTGCTTTTCAGAGCCAGAGCTTCCTGCGTATGTGGGACAGTAGCTCCTGCTGTGGGACTGGCTTGTTCTGTGGCAGCTGCCAGTGCCTCCCCTTCCACACTCCAGGCTTTCCAGTGCTTCCCTTCCCACAGTACAGGCTTTCCATTGCTCTGCCTGGCTCTCCGTGGCTCTCCTGTCTCCCCCTTCCTCCTTGGCAGGGATGGCCTTGCCCAGCAATTCATCCATGGGGAGATTCAGCTTGCATACACTGTCAAGAAGTTTTATGATGTCACAGTCTTTGAATGCTTGCTCTCCATTGAAACTCTCATCGTCCTAGCAAAACAAATTTAAAATCTTACTCCCTTTCTGGTTTGTGTTTTGTTTTTTTGGCAGGTGCCTGTATTGAAACCTATGGATTTGATGGTAGAAGTTACTCCCCGGAGAATCTTTGCTAATGGTCACACCTATCATGTCAACTCAATATCTGTCAACAGTGACTGTGAGACATACATGTCAGCAGATGATCTCAGGATTAACCTCTGGCATTTAGCAATCACAGATAGGAGCTTCAGTATCCTTTATTGTGGTTCCTTGCTCAGTGTTCATAGTATTACTGGGGATTAAGAGAGCTGTTTTAAAATATTTTTTTCTGCAGATTTTAAAATATACCTTTACTTATCAGAATCCCTGCAGTATTTTTAACAGAAAATGCTCAGATATTATAGGAGACAGCTAAGAGGTTGCAAAAATCAGGGAATTTTATGTGAAAAATAAAGGTCTTGAAGTTGGTTCATGACAAGTAAATAGGAAACTGATGCCAGCTTAATGGTAATTATCCACCTGACTAGAATACTCTATACTGTTATTTCCTGAAGACATTTCACGCTGAGCTACTCCACCTTGTTTTGCTGAAAGGTCAGTCCTTACCCTGACCGTGCCCCCTGTTCTCCATCATCCTGCTTCCCAGAACCCTAATGCCTGAGATGTGCACAGTTTGGGGGTAAGGCTCAGCTCCTTTGTGTGAGTTGTGTCTGTGATTAATGCAGTCATTGCTGTATCAAGTGCTGGCATCATCCCGAAAGCTGTGTTGTGGGATCATTCCAGTCATCTGTGAGGCTACCCCTTGTACTGCAACAGGGTGGCTTGGAGGAGGAGCAAAAGAAAATGTGGCCAAGAAAAGTGATTTTCTGTGTTTTGCAGAACATAAAGGGACCAGTAAGAAGACAGATAAGTCATGGGGCCAGCTCAGAATGTTGTGTTCCTTTGGTGATTTCTTTTTAAGACCCTTATAATTTTTATGAGGGACTATTAGACGTCAAAGTGAAGTTGTCATACTGGGGGCAAATTCCTAAAAGAAAGCACCGATGTGATGGGGTGTTCTCCCTGTCTCTGGTGATTGTATATATTTCTTCCTTAGGCCAGATCATCTGTGGAGCTTAACTCATGCTATGTTAATGTCACAGGAAGCATTTTCATTAAATCAAACAGCTCTTAATGTCCTTAAAAAAACTGCCTTTGCAGGATCAAGTGACCGGTGGCTTTACCCTGGGGATGGTAGGGAATATCTCCTCAATTTGTTTCCGAACTCATATTCTTTTTCTGTCTTTCACCTGTCTAGATTAAGCAAGCTAAATGGTGCCCTCTTTAATATGACTGTTTATATAGGACCAATTTATATGTGATTCTTCAAAGTCCAGCTATGTCTGCCTTTGATACTAAGCAACTGTACTTCCATCCTTTAGTAAGAGAGAACAGAGTGGGAAAATTGTTTGCCAGCACGCCTATATGGAGTAGCAGCTCCTGACAGTGTCCTTCTCACTGTAGCTTCACCCTCCAGTCTTTGTCCTTGACACTTTTATACGTGGCTACTGTGTGTTCTCCTCTACTGTGTATCCTCCTCTTTCTTCTAAAGCAGAGCAGTGAGTCAGACCAAGCACAGCAATCTCTGTATGTCTGTGTATGATAACCAGGTCACGTTCCAGAATACTTATGCAAGAGAAGTCTTTGCTTTTGGCGATGACTTTTATTCTGTTAAAAGCTGTTTTATAAACTATGGATTGCCAAGAGAAATGTTTCTGACAAGATTTTAAAAAAACAAATAAATAGTTATTATATTTCCTGAGGATGATTCAAATTCTACCAGTATAATAGGAAAGAGCTGAAAAACAGACTTAGTCTTACAATCGTATCTACTGCCATATGTCTTGATGGAACAACATGAATAGCAAAATTATTTGAGATTGAATAACTATTTAGGATGTTATTGCTTCTACTCCTGTATGTTCAACTGCTATATTCGGTGACAGCTGCGTGGACTCTGTTTCAAGCATTAGCAGACTCCTGTCGTTGAATATTTACTGATAAAAAGTGTTTTAGAGTTTCTGATTGAATCACTGATTTAACTCTTAAAACATGATACAATTTATAGTAGCATGCTCAGTTTCTGAGTATGTTCTAAGAGAGATGATGAGGGGGAAATTAAGAGTGTGTTTCTGTGTTTTAGGATAAGAGACTTTTCCTGTATCTGAGGCAGTGGCTTTGGGATACTTATGTGGATGACTTTGGGATAATTGGATTTCTATCATGGATTGGGATACAGATATTGCTGCTTCTTTTAGATACAAGCCAGATCATCAGGCAGATTACTTTTACTTAATTCTTTCATAAACAGAAAAGTTGAGATAGGTGTTCCAAAAGAAGGTGACATAGGTACATATTGCTCATATTGGTGAATTAACCAGGAGACCACAATAACTGGAAGGACAGGATGAGTAAGTTAAACTTGCATCAGTCTTTCCACAGGTATCTTTTTGTCCATATAGAGTCCTGTAAGCCCTTGTAAAATTGCAGGGGCATGTTTTCCACTAGATTTCAACATCTGTCCCATAAAGAAACTGCATTTCTGTCCTACAGAAAACCCAGTTACATAAAACTCTCCTGGAAGTAGATGAGCTTCTGGTAAAAACATTGGGTGTGCCAGTTGCAATTAGGACTAGATATATTAAGATGAAAAGATTCTGCCAAGCAAACAGTTTAAATTATAAATGAATGTTGCTAGGCTTGGTGCCTTCTGCAACACACTTAGGGGGACAGGCAGGAGGAAGCTCAGGCAGTTTTAAAAATGCTTGCTTCACATCTTTTTACTAGATGCAAAATGGAAATGAAGCATCTTGCTGTTTCACATGCAAGGTTTGATTCCTTGAAATACATGTTTAAAACAATAGATAGAAAACATTTTGGTTTGAAGTGGCATTTGTTAATAAGGGATCTGGCAGTGATGTGTATTTGTCTTTCTACTTTCCCTCAGAGGCAGCACTGCTACATATAATGAACTACAATCTGTTTACCCAAGAGGCTGGTTGTGACAATGACACAAACAACAAATACAGTGGTAGAGTTTCTGGACATTCAGCTCATGTTTGAACATCTTTACAAATTGCATGGGAAACGCTGGAGAAAGAATGGATTAGCAGCGGTATGCTAGGGTGTTTTTCACGTACTTTGTCTTGTAGAATTTTATTCGACAACAGTTGGGTTATAACCATTATTTTAGCAGTTTTACAAATCAGTGAGAATTCTTCATTTCTTTGAAAATGAAAAGACAAAGCAATGCAGATCTTAAGTTAATTCTCCTTCTGTCTCCTTTGAAAGTTAGTTTAAATCAGCTTTGCAGAATTTGACCAGAATATTTGCCTTAGGTAAAGCCGTAGGCAAATAAAATACAGTTAGTGGTTTTCTGGTTTGCTTTTGTGTAAGCATAAATGCTAACTGGTGTAAAAAGCAGACAAGTGAGTTTTATGCTATGGCTGTGTAAATTTTCATGAAGAATATGCAAGACTTCGATACGTTGCTTCCCACTTGCAAGCAGATTTGCTCAGTATCATTTGGACAGGAGGAGGCAAGGGAGAGAGGAGGTGAGAGAAAAGGAAGGGGGAAGGTCAGCTGGTAAATAATTGCACATATGAGGCTTTGCTTCACTAAAAGGTTTAATGTGTTTAGTTGTGTTATGGAGAACGAGAGTCAGTGTCCTCAATTATAGATTATATTCTTCACTGGAAAAGAAGTGAGGTAAAGGTTGCTGTATTTGTTAATGTTCGGTCTGAAATGGCTTAGCAGTGTTGCCCGTAGCTTAAGCCTTTAGATAAGTCATCTTGGGTGTATTAAATGAGAAAACAGGACTGCTGGAAGCATACTGATAAGGCTTACTTCACATCAGCAGCAATCTTTGGACTATCTAGCTGTACTAAATATTCTTTATGAGAACGTATTTGGATTGCTCACAGAACTATGTAGCTCATAGCACTTGAACTCCCTTCATTTCCTGGTAGCACACTATTTCACTCTAGAGGCTGTCATGGCATTGCTATGGAAACAACATCACCGTTTCCAGCATGTACTCATCTTGAGACTCATCTTGACTAAAATACTCATTTCTCAGTCAGATCAATATAGTCCAGGGTTATCCTGTTTTAATAAAAAATTCTTTCTTCCATGTCCCCAAAGGGTTAAGCTAATTAGCAAATCACCATAGGGCCATAGTCTAATGTATTCCAGTATTTGAAGCATATCATGGATAGTCAGATCGTTAGGCACTGTATCTTGGGGAAATTAATTTACTTAAGAAGTAAACACCAAAAAAGAAAAGAAATAGAAAAACTAAAATAACATGGTACATTGATGGAGACCAAGTCTGTGGCAGCCCATCGTGCACCTGAATATAGGGCATATATGGGGTATATATAGTGCTCTGGGAGCAGCCCCCAGGCTGGGGAAAATAGCTAGCCTTAACAAATTCCTGTTACCTGCCTTAGTGCTAAGCATTTGAATGCTAAACTGAAAGCAAATCTGCAATATTGTCTTGGCATTTGTAGAGCTGTAAGCTGGCAAATTTATGCCCTTGAGTGAGATAAGGTTGTTTCTATAAAAATTCCTCAGCCAGGATGACTGTGCACAAGCTGTGTGCACAAGGATGCATTTTCTGCGCTCTCAAAAAAATGCCTTTACTGCATGAGAACCTGCTGCCACCCCCACCTGCAGCACTGTTTTCCTCAGGCATACACCTCCTGTTTGGAGAGATGGCAGACATTATTTCTCTTCTTTTGAGAGCTCTGTGTAATACATTTTAGCACTTCCTATTCTATCAAGAAAGTCTGCCAGTCTGTATCATATATTTAAAAGGTATATATTATACCATGGAGTCATATTCTAGCTGAGTTACTACTAGCAACATTTGAGTAGCTTTTCCTCAAATTTGTGGTGTTCTTTTATTGTTTACTTCCCAGAGTCTTTTCTTTTCCCACATGAGTTGTCTCTCTCTCTCCTTTAAAGGAGAATGAAGGTGTCTGCAAAGCTAAAATCAGGTCTGTAAGTTATAAGTAGAGGATTGCAGAGGTACTGTGTACCCTGTCTTCATGGTTTGGTGAGCTCTTTTAAAGTGTAATTATTGAGAAATGGTTGCTTTGCTTGTCTCATGAAAACACTCCTACCTGAATAACTGAGGGGAAAAAAGCTATATTCTATGAGCTGATTAGATTCTGGATTGACATAACGCACTCTTTAGTCTCCACTTTT